AAGAAGGGAAGAAGGACTGAAACACTTCCATTTAAAGGACTACCTTTAGACACAAGAACATTTCATCCATAGTAACAGCAAAGGAGGCAAGGAGGGATAGGAATACAGTACAATTTCCAGGTTGGGAAAACACAGGAAGTTGAGTATTTACCTGACAGTTACTATTCTCATGACAAGGCAGAAGATAATGCCAAAGTCTTTGAGATCCTTAAGGAAACCAGTAAGTAAAGGTAGATATGAATTTCGTAGTCCCCAAATAACACTTCACTTTTACTGTCACTTGCTATGTCCAGGAACTCTGCTAGGTGCTCTAATGCACTAGGCTCATTTAATCCCCATAACAACCCTGTGAGGTAGATGCTATTGTTGTTGTTAGTACCACCCTCACTGTTCACAGGAGAAAACAGAGGTTTAAAGAAGTTAAAGAACTCACTTGAAGTCATAAAACTAGAAAGTGTTGCAACTGGGATTAGAACCTAAGTCAATTACCTGAAAGCTTGAGCTACACTGTACTGCCATATGGTTGGTAATATCTTTACCTCTTTCTCTATTATCATTACTGTTTCTAATTCTTAGAGAAACGTACACAGTCCCCTAACCAGGGACTTCAGACTTCACACTAACTGCCTGGTTCCCGATAGCGCTTATATGAGCTGCAATGCAACTCATATTGATTTAGGAAGTCAATGAGGATAGGAGAGAAAGAAAATAAGTTCCAATAAACTGCAAGTTACTATCTTTCTTTTAGTTGGTATTAAGTGCAAAGTTATCACAATCTCTGAAATTTAAAAAGATTTGCTTCTATGAGTGGAACTAGGTGAAAGGGAACTATAACATAAACATCAAACATACCTTGATATCGTTGTCTATTCCACCAGAAATAATCTGATCACTTGTATCATTGAAGGTCACAGCTAACACCTGGTATGTGTTCTGAAATGTCTGAATGGCTGCTTTCTTCCGGATGTCCCAAAGCTGAAGCAGAGGAACAGGAGAATGTATTACTCTAAGAAGTAACTGCACAGTATACTCCTAAGTACAAGCAAGGACTGTGGACATGAACACATGTCTAATTGGGAAGCTGTTCAGAAACTTTCCTGGATATTCTAGTAAAACACATGGTGATAAGTGAACACAATTTTGCCAAGGGATCTGAAGGTTGGTGAAACAAATCACTTTGGTTGGCTTTCCAGAATCCTTTGTCGAAGTCTGAATTAACATACTTAATCAATGTGCCCTAAAAGTGGAAGTCGGTACCTGCTTAGTTTATATATTCTCAGGACAAGGATATCAACATTGTTTTTCAAACTGTAGGTACTGACTCATTAGAGGGTTGCAACCTGCATTTACAAAAATAGAAAGGGTATGTCAGTGAAAATGGCATAATAAGAAATGCCAAAAGCCTGTTTCTCCGGAGAAGCAGCAAATTACCTGGCAAAAAACCCCATCAGAACAACTGTCAGAACTCTAGGAACTAATCAAAAGTTTAGAGCAACCAGGCAATCCCTTAATGAGAAAAAAACCCCACATGAGTCCTAGTAGGAGTGCTTCATGGTGTTTTACCCTAGGCTGGCTCCATTCCCTGCTCAGTTAAGGGTTTGAAAACAGCCAACATTCCCAGTATAGTTTCCTAGTACTAGAGGAAACAGAATGGGCTTTATTCTTTATTCTCAAAGAATTATAGTTGTTTGTTTTTATCTGTCTGATGGCTTCCTAAAGGATGAGCTTAAAGGGCTTGCATTTATTTTGCCCAATTTGGAACTTTCCTTGACAACATTTAAAGACAAATGCATTAGCCTCTCTGCTCCTGGGGCGAGGGATAACAGTTGGGGCAAATAATATTAATAGACAAACCAAAAAAGCTTGGGATGAAAGGCTGGGGAAAGAGACAATTTGAAGAATAAGGTTTGAAAAGCTCTGACACATTCCTGGGTATCTAGAAGGCCACCTGGCATACTCAGGGCTGCACACATGCTTAGAAAAGACCTTCTTAGTAAGCTCTCTAGTTGATGTGGAGGTTCTACACAAGCATGAGGATAATGCAGAGTTGTAAGCTACATAACTGAGAGTTGAAGGCAGCCTCCAACATAACACAGAGATAATCTGCAAAGACTGGGTGAGGTTTTTTGTTGTTCTTCTAGGTGATTAAAAAAACCTTTTGTCAATCACGAGCTGACCATTAAGCTAATGGAACAAGAATTCAGTTTGTCCTACACAGGACAAAGAATACAGACTTTACAAAATTAGTTCAAAAAGTCACTAAACAAACACACACACAAGTGGCAACCACAGCTCTGAGGACTACCTAATCTCCAGAGTTGCTACATTATAATGCCTAGCTTG